GGTGCCGGAGGCTCGTTAATTATTAGTCTATGTGTCACTGCAGTACCCTCACGGCGGCTACATTGGTCGTCGGGTAGGCTTATAGACTGAGGTTGTGTTGTTAAGGACGGGGGGGGGGGGGTCGTCGTTTTATCACGTTCACGAACTGCTGTTTTGCCGTTACACCTGCGTGTCGTTCGTTGTTGTTGAGGGGGTGGGGGTGGGGTGGGCGTACTCGTGGTGTGCATGCCATAGTTACGGTTACACCATCGACCAACGTTTCTCGAGAGGACGGAGCATTTTTCCCAGGCGGGGTGGAGCTGGGGGCGTAATCGGAACTCTATTTTACAGCAGTTGCGTCGATGCTCACTGCTGCTCCCTGCTCACTGTCGACGACCGTCATCTCCACGGCCTTGTCCTACAGCTACATGCACACACAACGCAGGGGGACCGGACCGCGCGAGATTAAAAACCTTACGAGGAAATGCAACAGGGAAGGGGGACGCAGACATACCCTATTCCCCAACCCTAACCCCAACCCAACTTCCCCGATTGCATGCTCTACCTATCCAACATGGTTACTAATCGAAGTACCCTGCGACGGCTACGGGGCGGATGGCCCCCCAAGACCACGACCGAAAACTGCTGTCGTGTCGCGCTCGCTCACTCACCGTCTACGAGCTTCATCCCCACGGCCTTGCTCTTGACGGCGTCCACCAGGGTGTTGGTCACCATGAGGTTCAGGTCTGCATCCAGGAGAGCCCGCTTCACCTCATTCAAAGCCCCCTCCACGCTGTTTTTTTTTTTTTTTTGCATCAAGGTTTGGGAGGGAGGGGGGGATGCGTTACGTTCCGATTTCGTGTTATCGCACGACTTTTGACAAAGGTACATGTAGTCCCACAAACGCAGCTAAAGAATGGGTTGTTTGTCTGTTGTGGGGAAACTGGGCGTCAAGGCTTTGCGGGACGTGTGTGTGTATGGGGAACGGGCGGGGTGATACACTGGGATGCGAGCGCGGACCATCGCAGCGGACTGCGTTTTTAACTCTCGGACGTTTGTCACTCTCTCGTCGCCTTGGTTTGTACATCAACACGACTGCTGCTGTGCCTGGAAAAAAACGTGGCAGCACGTGGACGGAAGCCCCGCACGTAGCACACAGCTCGCGGAGGGTAGATGCGCCGAGAAAGTCACGAACGAAGGTACGATTTTGTCACTTCGCGCACCAACCTTTCCGCACTCTCTCGACCCGGGCTGTGTATCCGTGTGTCCCAGACTATACACGAAGTGTCGCGCTGCTATGTATGCAAACAGCAGTATTGTTTACTGCGGCTTCACGTTGAAAACCCCTTCTTCGACTGCTGTGGTTATCCTCGAGCGGGAGTCTCTTGTTTGATTACATCGTGTATTTCCCAAAAAAACGACGAGCTGCCAAGCTCAGCCATGCCAAACCACTTACACGCCTGCCTGAGCGAAGCTCTCTCGCTGTAGGGTGGGGGCACATCCCCGACCACAACGAACGCGTTCTTGGTTGAATTGTGTTAAGGAATAATATAAACATACACACAGAAAGACCACCCATTCGAGATATACCCACAGTTATTGTGTTAAACTAGCATCGCAGGCCTGCTGGACCGCGCATGAATCACAACCATGCCAGTCTAAATGTTGAACGATTCGTGGAATGGCGGGACATAGTTCAAAAAGATTTAATTCTTGACGCGTGTTGGCCCAACCTACTTTGGAGGCCGGAGTGCGTCGCGAGCTATGCATACACACTTAACACACCCTGCTGTACGAGCGCCGCCGCAAAAGCGTTCATGTATCACACAACATACCACCCCCCCCGCCCCGCGCCGTCCGCATTTTGTCTCTCGGCAGGTTTCCGATCAATTTACATAGTATGCTCAATTCCCTTGAAGGTTGATGGCAGCGAGAGGTTCATAGAGTTCATTGCCTTGTTTGGTTCCTCGGCCGTACGATAGACGGGCTGCCTACATAACGACGTGATGGGTCGAATGTGTAGTGGGTGGTATCTAACGTAAGTTGCACATGTTGTTCAGTACCTTGACTCAGTGATGGTCTTCTGCCCGGTGAACAGGTTCGCCACCCCAGCCATGTTCTCCGCCAGCGTGTCGAACATCATGCCCAGGGGAGAAGAAGCACCACCGGCGCAGCCACCCCTCCTCCCCCTCCTGCTGCTGCTTCGGCTGACAGGCAGGCTGCTGCGACCTGCTGCTCCGATCGCCGCTGCCCTACATGATGATGATGACCGGTCATTGACGCCGCAGCGAGAGAGGCCGCCAGCGGGGACAAAGGCCACCGAGCTCTGAGCGAACAATGCGCAGACGCAGCAGAAAAAGGAGAGCGTCGCAGCTGCTCCGCCTCTCGGAGGCGACCTGTGCTTGAGCGATGCCATTATCATCGTCGTCAGTGCAAACGATGATGATGAGTCGGCGCTGCAATCACACATGTCATTTAGTTAGACCTGGGGGGGGGACCCGCACATTCATTGGCTAGGGTCCATACGTAAGCGTTTGCAAAAACTCTGCCGCGGAGCCCCTAAATCTTGCGTCATCGGGCGTCATCGCCAAGCACAGCCAACTACTGTTAACAACCAACAGCAGCGGCAGCAGCAGCACCACCACTACCATGGCATCCGATTCCTCCCCCCCCGCCTCCTCCTCTTCTACCACCTCGTACTGCAGCACGCGAGGGGGTGCGAAGGGTGTGAGCTTCGAGAATGTCGTGCTGGGAGGGCTGGCGGAGGACAGGGGGCTGTATGTGCCGGAGGTGCTGCCGAGTGTATCCGCTCAAGAGCTTGCGGAGGTGAGGAGGGCGTGGAGAGAGAGACAGAAAGCAGTCCCGGGGGTTTAGCAGCAGACCTTGTTGGACCGAACCCTTTCGGTAGAGGTGAGGTCCGTTGTGGCGGTGAAGGGAGGTGTGTCTCGAGCATCGACATCTCCGCTGCAGTACCAGCTGCTGGCGTGTGTGCGGACGACGTCTAGTACATGAGACTATGCCCGCGCCATTGTTGTTTGTCATGCACACATCATCCTCCGCATGATAAATACCCCATCAGCCGCAGCAGCCCGTTTGGTTTTTCGTACCGGCGGAAGCGTCGGTTGTGCTCTGTACGAGCCATGGCTGTCGTGTGCTGAAGCGGTCGTCGTGTTGCCACTCGCTGTACTTCATGGGCAAAGCGGTGGACTGTTGCTGTTGTTGTGAGAATCTTACATCCGGGCACCAGCAGAGAAGACGCGTACGTTGCAAGGAGCAACAGCCAAGGGCCACTCAGCAGGTAAAACACCGCGTCCCCAACGTCGATCATGCTACCAAGGCACCCGGAGATGATCCCCCCTTCCTGCCGTCTGAGCCAGGGTTCCGGGCTGAGGGCACCCGATGTTTTCTCGTTTGGCAGCCTCCCAACTCGCCAGCAACTTACAGCAGTATAATAGTTGTACACCAGTTGAACTTGATTCTCCTACAGAGAACTGCTGTAGATTGTGCAGTACAACAGCAGTATCGCAGAGCAGCAGCTGCAGCACCAGTGGTCGTGCTGGCTTGTTCTGCGTATGTGCGGATCACGGCATGTCCCGAAGCCCCCCCCCTCCGTAATTTTCCAAGCCCGTGGTCCTCTCCAGAGATAAACTTGACCACGTTGCATATATAGGTCGAGTGTTGGATCAGCACGGACATACGAAGGTACTGGGTAGAGGGAGATCGGAACGGTTTTTAATGTGACAACAACAACAACAACAACAACAACAACAACAACAGCAACAACAACAACATATATTTCAAAATTGAAAATTACAGGTACACTACATGCACAGCTACAGTACATACCGAACGTTGCGAGACAGCGCAAAGGGGTGCGAGCGATTTTCAAAGCGTAATTTCTCCACAAGCAGGAGGGTACAGTACCACTGTCGAAAAGGGCGGTTTTGGAAATATCTCACGGAGAGCTTTCCCGAGAAGTATCAGTTGGCGCTCGCACCCTCCAGGTTGTGGAGAAATTACGGTTTGAAAATCGATCGCAGCCCTGTGCGCTGACTCGGAACCTTACGGTATACTTCTACACTTCTATATGTATACTTCAAACAAGTAGAAAAGACTCCCAACACATCCCGTTCGACTGCTGTGGGTAATCTCGAATGGGTACAGTAGTCTTTCTGTGTGCGTATAGACTACAGCAGTAGGTTGGAAGAGGATGCACTAAACTGTACCGAACAGCAGTAGGTGCCGGCCGTCAAGGGCTGATGTATGCAGAAAGATGGCAATTAAAAGCAGGCAGCAGGACCAGCCCACCGCTGGCCGATCGATGGCTTGCCAGTTGTGAAGTTTCCCGAGGTCCAACAGCTCACACAGCTCTGCCTGTGCCTTTTGACTCGAACGGCCCAGCGAATCTCCACGCACCAAAAAAACAATATTGTGGTACATATAAATCTGTATGCCATTTTGCAGTGAGGCTTCTACTATTGTATAAAGGAGTTAATGTAGCACCTACATTTTGTCCGCACCACTTCTGAGCAAAGGTTTCTACTGTACTCCGTATGTAGGAAAATTGTAGCGCTCATTATTAAATATTGTCCCCGCAGCTGAGCAGAGGCTTCTGTATGGGAATTAGTGTAGCGCCTACGTTTTGTCCCCACCACTGAGCAAAGGCTTCTTTGCTGCATAGGAATTAATGTTGCGCCGGCATCACTTTTCTTGCGTCTGCCAAAATCTGTGCCTCGGTTTCTCACGAACACGAAAGTGTTTGTTACACGCGGGCCGGCCCTACTGTTTTCCGAATACTTGACAGAGTAAAAAAAATAAGAGCCGAATCTAAGACCTTCCCGTGAGAGCCACACGAGATGGGTACACTCGTGACTCCAATATAAGAGGGTGGAGTGACAAATACGCTCGACCCTTTCATATCGGAGCCCCCGCTTATACCGGAATAAGAGAGTACCCAACTATGCTATATCGGGTCTAGTCCGCGACAACCGGTTTCGACCTGCTGTGTTTCATGCATATGCATGTGCACGTACGGCCCTCGTCGGAGGCTTTACACGAAAAAGACTTTTCCAATATGTACTTGCTTCAGAATCGTTTTTGCTTTTCCGATGAATCGACGAAGCGTGGAAGAGCACTACACAGCTAGAAGTACATACCTGTACCCATTCTTTCGCGCGAATCATACCCCTCGCCTTCTTGTTGTGATATCGATAGGGAAGGTAGACTATGGAAGAATTTTTTGAGCCACCTTTGGCGGAATAGGATGCCACGATTGGCCATCGGTGATCATTCCTGCGGGAACAACATTGTTCCGTCCTCTCGAGGACGCGTGGTCACTGGTCTAGCCGCTAAGGCATGCAAAACACAACAACAGTACGCCCCCCGCCCCTTGTTGCCTCCCCCCAACCAATCGCCAGAATGATGACCAGCTTCTGGTTTATCCTTATAAAACGTACCCTGGGCCGGCGAAAACTCGGCATCCATTTCGCTCCGTCATCCCGGCACTGTGTAGGGATGCGAGGCCAACGGTCTAACGACTGCTACATGCGTTTTTTCATTAGTACACCCCCCTCTATCGTCTCGAGGACGGGCCGTCAATGGTCTAACAACTAAGGGCATGCTAAACACGAGTATTTGGCGTGCTGCGTCCCGGCTTCGTAAGAATACGAGGTCGAATGGTCTAACTTTTACGTTAGTGCACCCCACCCTGGTGGTTTCGTGAATGGTCTAACGACTACGGCATGCGTTTACATGAGTATCCCCCCCCCCCCGTGAGCAGAGCCTGGTCCGGTGAGAACCCGGCGTGCTCCGTCCCGGCTTTGTGGGGATGCCAGGTCAATGGTCAAACGACTACGGCATGCACGACTATGAGTACACCCCCCCCCCCCCCCGTGAGCTTGGCAACCAAGTTACCGTTTTTGTTTTTGCCTTTTGTTTTTTTTTGCGGTAACCATGAATGGTGGTCGAGTAGATCATGTTGTGCGGGGTCGAGAACCCTCACCCCGCGCAAAGAGGATAATCGCACCACGTTGTGTTACATTGGTAAAGCACCCTCGAGGCAGGTACACAGTGCTTACAACTGCCCCTGGACGTGAAAGCACCAGAAAATAGATTAACTCGTACGCAGCTGTCATCCGCACGCAAGGAAGTAAGCGCAAGATGCCGAACACCCTTAGCAGGATGCAGCGCACCCTTCATGCGACTCACCGAATACCTCACGGCGCTTCGCGCTTGGTGATGTGAGAGCCTGGCCCGGTGAGAGCCCGGCGTGCTCCGTCCCGGCTTTGTAGGGATGCGAGGTCAATGGTCTAACGCCTACGGCATGCACGACTACGAGTACACCCCTCCCCCGCCCGCCCCCCGCCCCCCCGGGTGGTTTCGTGACTTGCCAACTAAACAGTGGCGCAAGCTGGCCTTCCCCGAGCTGGCGTTTAAGATCATGTCCAAGTACATCTCCACAGAAGAAATCCCCTCCGATGACCTGCTGGACCTGTGCAAGAGGAGCGCCACCAACTTCCGTACGGAAGGTGATCGATGTTGGTCATCGTGAGATTCACGCAAGTGTACAGGGGATTGGCTGCAGTCGTTGTTCCGATATGGCAGGGTGCCTTGTAAGAGGGGGCTCCGATATATGTGTTTCGAAATCGGTTGTCACGGCCGCTATAGAATAATTGGGTATCCTCTTTATTCCGGTATAAGAGGGGGCTCCGACATATGTGGTTCGAAATCGGTTGTCACGGCCGCTATAGAATAATTGGGTATCCTCTTTATTCCGGTATAAGAGGGGGCTCCGACATATGTGGTTCGAAATCGGTTGTCACGGCCGCTATAGAATAATTGGGTATCCTCTTTATTCCGGTATAAGAGGGGGCTCCGATATATGTGGTTCGAATTGGTTGTCACGGACTCGGCCCGCTATAGAATAATTGGGTACCCTCTTTTCTTCGGTTTAAGGGGGGGCTCCGATATGTGTGGTTCGAAATCGGTTGTGTCGGACCTCGACCAGCTATCTATAAGAATAATTGGGTGCCTTTCTATGATTGGGTACCCTTTCTATTCCGGTATAAGAGGGGGATTCGAGATAAAGAGGGTCAAGGGCCTTTGTCATACCACTCTCGTACATCGGTGGCACGATTGTACTGTGTAGGGGTGCTAATGGCAAAAAAAAACACACGTGAAATTTTGTTACAATACTCGTGTCCCGGATGTTCCACACCTCGAGATCAAGTACTTCCTTTGATGCAAGGCTAGGTCTTTTTTTGAGTCTCGAGGTGATTTTTTTTTTTTGTATTCTGGGTTAAGTTTCGAACAAACCGGACACCCTTTTTACGCGCATACAAGGCCTGATTAGCACCCCTAACTAACTGGCCGCTGGTGGTAGTGGTGGTGGTAGTGGTGGCGGCGCTGCTGCTGATATCGTGTGTTGTCGACGGTGTTTTGTAGTGGTCGCCTGCTGCTGCTGCTGCTGCTGCTGCTGCTACTAGTCTAGCGGCAGTTGCGCCGCCACCGCACCGACTTGCTGGTGGTTGCTTCCAACCCTTGGTTAGTGGATGCGGCGAAAGTACCGACGCTTCCCCGGACGAACGAAACGGCGAAGAGAGAGAGAGAGAGAGAGAGAGAGAGAGAGAGAGAGAGAGAGAGAAGCACGCCCCCGACACAGAAAGAGAGGAGCGCACGAGCAGCGGTTATTCAGCGAAGCTCGCGCTGTAGGTATCGACTGTGTGGGAGTCGGAGAGCTCTGTGCCGGTCACAAGGAGACAACGACAGCACGGCACAGCCGTCATTTAGAAGGCTGTGTATGTAGGTGTTGCCGAGGACGAAACCTTAGACGCTACACCCGTGCTGTGCTCCACAGCAGCAGCGCAGTACCCAACCCACCAAATCGACGATGCGGTGTGCTACTTGAAGCTAACGCCTTGCTGCTGCCGACTTCTCGTCCTTGTCGAGCAGAGGTCACCCCCGTCGTACGCGTCGGGAAGGCCTGGGTCCTCGAGCTCTTCCACGGCCCGACGTTCGCCTTCAAGGACGTGGCTCTTCAGGTGCTGTTACTGCTTTTCAGGTTCTTCGTCCTTGATTTTTCTTGTCTTACACACACAATGGTAAATAGTGTTCATCTGCAGGTACACTACCGTAAGAGACGAAGAGGTGGCACCCCCGCTAGACCAACTTTCAAAGCTCGATTACTCCACAACCAAGATTGTCTGTACCGTACCGTATACCGTACCGTGGTATTCCGTAAGAGGCGGAGAGATGGCACACCCCCCTAGACCAACTTTCGAAGCTCGATTGCTCCACAACCAAGTGGGTGCGTAAAAAGCCCGATACGTCTGCGGAAAGCCCTGGACCAGATGCTTCCAAAGCTTGTATTTTCGGTGGTGGCACAATCTTGGTTGTGAAGCATTCGAGGTTTGAAAGTCGGCCCAGGGGGGGTGCCATCTCTCCACCTCTTACGGTGATGATGTCCTACAGTTGACACCTGCGCTCTAGGTTTGGCCGAGGCTGGGGTCCCTGGTTCCCAGGGTTTTTGCGACGAAAAAAAAATATAATAAAAAATGTATATAACTGCTATGGCGGTGTTGGTATAAGGGGTTATTGACCAAGCTCACGAACGTTGCTCAAGTTCCGACATTTGAAATAGTAGTTTTTGTTCTTGTACGCATGGTGTAACGATTTTAATCTTCAGGGGGTACTTGTGTGCTGGTGTATGTTGTTTTTCCTTACAACCACCAAGTGGTAAAAACATTTTCCATCAGGTTTTTGCAATCACCTCTGGCCTTGTGCTGTATTTGTATTTGTGTGCTGTATTTTGTATTTTCCCGCATGTATAAGAGTGGTACCCATGTTTTGATCGGGTATGTACTTGCAACCAATCACGCCTTGCCCGGCCTTTCTTTTTGCTTTTCACTGGGCGGCACCCGCCCCTGTATGTAGCTTTGGCCCAAGCCGTCCTCGACACTTGTTCGTTGTACCTTAGGAGACATACGCAAGATAGCACACCCTCTTGACCAATTTTCAGAGCTCGATTGCTCCACAATAGCAGAAAGAGTGGCGGTTGTGAAAATGGTGGTGTGGAAACCGTCTACTATAGTACCGACAGCATTCCGACAACACTTTTATTTTGATGGAACACTTGAATTTGATTTTGGCTCCTTGTTCGTTGTGGAGTTTTTTTTTTTTTTTGCTCGAGCTTTATTAATCGGTCCATGGGGTGTGTTCAATTATGTCACCTACGGTATTTTTCAGACCGTACTGATTTCGTTCCTTGTTTCTTGGCCTTTCTTACCGTCGCTGACGCTGGAGGCAGTACGGTCGAGCCTTTGCTCTTTTAACGGCCTACGTACCATGTAAGAGGCGGAGAGATGGCACCCCCTCTAGACCGACTTTCGAAGCTCTATTCGACTGCTCCACAACCAAGATTGTCTGTACCGTACCGTTTACCGTACCGTGGTATTCCGGAAGAGGCGGAGAGATGACACCCCCTCTAGACCGACTTTCGACGCTCTATTCGACTGCTCTATTCCGCATAACCAAGTGGGTGGTGCGGAAAGGACCAGATACGGCGACGGGTTTCCCTCGACGAGATGGTTGCATGACCGCCGTTTTTGGTGTTGGCACGAGCTTGGTTGTGAGGCAATCGAGCTTTGAAAACCTGTCTAGGGGGGGTGCCCATCTCTCCGCCTCTTACGGTAGTCTTGTCTTCACGTGCACCGCGATTTTGAGGGGTCTCTAGTACTACGGCTGTTGTTGCTGTTGCCGTTTCTGTTCTTTCGGCACGAACAAGTTTCTCGGACATCTGTTCACGCCCTATCATAGTCTTTTCTCGCTGCGCGTATACCGCTGTTTGAGGTCAATACCGTTACCGCCTTTTCTGTTGTGATGTTTTTCACACGAACAAGTTTCTCGGAAATCTGTTCGCGGCCTGGTCTGGTCTTGTCTCACTGGGCGCACACCGCGATGAAGAGGTCTTGACTATTGTTGCCTTTTCTGATTCTGAACTTTTTTTTTATTGCGCACGAACAGTTTCTGGGAAACCTGTTCGAGTACTTCCTGCTGCGTCGACGAGCGAAGGGGGAAGAGGCGGGTCTCACCATCCTGGGAGCTACTTCCGGGGACACCGGTGAGTCCTCCGACCCCCCCCCCCCCCCCCCGGG